ATACTATTAACACACTACAATATTTTATATTAAAAATACTCTTGAAGAAGGTATTGTATTATACACTGCCTAGGTAAACAAATAAATACTATATATTGCCTGGCCACTTAATTTCTACTGTTGTTTTTTACATTTTCTAATTTTTTAAAAATTGTCTTTGCTATCCCTTGACCTTAATCACATATGGCTACTTGATTTCTGATGTGTTGTAAATGAGGCTGGTAACTGGCTTGAGCAGGTAACACAAGCTTGTCCAAGCTGTGGCCAATGGGCTGCATGTGGCCCAGGACAGCTTTGAATGTGGCCCAACACAAATTCATAAACTTTTTTAAAACATTACAAGACCTTTTTTTTTTTTTTTTTAGTTCATCAGCTGTCATTAGTGTTAGTATATGTTATGTGTGGCCCAAGATGATTCTTCTTCCAATGTGGCCCCAGGAAGCCAAAAGATTAGACACTGCTGAATGTCTAATCCCAATCTGAAGAGGAATGAGAGACTCATTCCTCTCCAGACCTCAGGTTTCTGAGGAAACAGGGCTCAGGCTGTTTCTTCAGCCCAGTTCTCCTTCTCTGCTTATGCTGAATAGAATACCTTGCACCTTCAGGGCTCATTTTCAGTTCGCCTCAATAAACCTTTCCATGACAATCTTATTGTTGGTACACAGGACTCATTTACTGAACCACACAAAGGTAACTGCTCATTTATATTCAATTTTAAGTATCAGGTCATAATTTTTTTATCGTTCTTAACTGAATTCAAATTTAGCTTCAAAACTGGCAAGTTTCATCGATAATACTAAACGTGAGAAATGGAACAATGTGTAAGTCTTTAGTAACCATCAAAATGCTTAAAAAATGTAGTTACTAAATAACTACAAAATTAAATGTGACATAACTTCATCATGATAATTAGAATTTCATGATATTTCTAAAGACAATGGGGAAAAAACATCTACTCCATCCCTGGTTTTCTTGTATTTGAAATCTTACTATATACACCAAAAATCCTTTCACTATTGAGTACTTACAATGAATATTTTTTAATAGGCCTCTATGTTCTCTTATCTATGTCTTTGAACCTCAGTCTCAGGTTTACAGCATTTAGCAGAAGAAAAGTGTATTTTTTCTTTTGTACTATTTGACTCAACTATATCAAACTGGAGAAAAAATGAAAAACGCAAATGTTCAAAGGCCAAATCAAAAAAAAAAAAAAAAAAAAGATTGTTCTTTAGTTGTGGTTCTTTTATAATTGTTGTCTTTAGAAGTCCTGGGTTAATGCTTTGATCATATCAGTGAAGTCACTAAAATTCTTTTTATTTAAGTATATGAGGTATTTAGAAAAAAGTAAATTCAAACAAACCACAAAATTCATTTTGCAGGCCTATTACTTTATATTACTTATACATCTTTAGGTTTTCAGTGAGAGTAGAAATGACTTACTAAGCATGCCTTTGCTTAATCATTGCGTCCAGTCAGAAAGCGCTTAAATACTAAGAATTTTTTAAATATACAGTTTCTCAATTTATAAAATATTTTCTATTGATAGATAAGGCACAGAAAAATGCAAGTGATGTCTGCTAAGCTTTACTTACAAAAACTTAAAGAAATGCTATGGGATAACATCAGTCCATTTTTCCTGCAATGTATCTTATGGAGACTTCCTTAAAAAATCTGGAAGTAATTAGGAACTATTATAGTAACTAAAGAAGTTTACTTGAAAACTAAATCTGCTATTCATCAAAGAGCACAATATGGTAAAAATAACGTAATAAACAAATAAGTACACATAGAGAATAAGCACCTTAACCATATCTAATTATAAAACTTTTTTTAAAAAGCTACGATAAAAGATAGTATCAGACCTCTGATATACTGAAGAATCTGTAGAAGACCTTGTACTCCCTAATTAACCTCTGATTTGATATTAAGTTTTTTACTTTAGTTCATTTCACTTCAAAATGATATGAAACCAATTTTTAAAATGCTACTAACGTCAACTTTAATACAAAATAAAAGTGAAGAAGAATAAATATATTTGTATCATAAAATCTATATCAGAAAAAAATCCGGAAAACAGTAAAAAATGTTTTGGGTATTTGTGGAATGATAAATACATCATAATGATAACTTTAACAGCTTCTTCTTAAGACTTAAATACGTTTTCCACACAGATGTAAAATTACACTGGGGGGTAGACTGCATGATACATCCCCTGGAGTTTAAAAGTTTGCCCATATGAACTGAATTATCCTTGACAAGTACCTTCAGACACTTGTAATATGATCTCATGTAAATTTAGACCACATTTTGGGTACAAACTATTAGCAATAGTAAGTTTATTCAGGAGCTCAGATAAGAAAGAAAAGCTAATATCCTTAATAATATGTAGTTGCTAACAGGAAATTTCCAAAATGAAAATGAGAAGCATAAAAATAAAAGCCATCTAATGTGTTGTAGCAAAGAAAAACAAAATCCTATAAAAAACCCAATATTGCATTTTCTTTTCCCTTTTTCTTAGCTGCCTGGTCTCTCAAAAAATTTTTATCTTTCAATGGCTTGTCTAAATTTGGAAAAAGAAAAGCATATTTTATACAAATAAATACATTAAAAATTCTATTTGCAGAATTCTAACTTATTCTAACCAGCATTAAATTACAATATGAATAAGATCTTAGTTTGATTTCTCACTGTGGAAAAAATATATACATAGTATATCAAGATAGTAACTTAAAGCTACTCATTCAGATTTTCAACTATTTTTATTAGTATTAATACTGCTCATGATAATAACATGGAGCTATCAAGACTTACAAAAGGCTCTCTGTAGAGTAAAACAAAAAGTACTCAGAACTCTGCAGCTTTCAAGATTCATCAGGATTACCTACTGCCTTGGCACAAAGATGGCCTACAGAACTGTACTAATTCTACAGGGACTGTGCTTCATTCTACAAGAGATGCATTAAGGGCTGTAGAAGAACTGCTTTGGAGAGAGCTATGCCAAGCAGTCTCCACAGCATCATTAACTGTATTTATTTCTCTTTTCAGAGGTATGCTACTGCTATGTTGCCCTGTTAATGGATGAAAATAGGATGTAAATCATCTTGAATTTAAGTAGTATAGAAAAATGGCACATCATTTTAAGAAACTTTGAAGACATGTCCATTTTTTAGTATGTGTGTCCTTACAACTAAAGACATGATTTTAGTTGGAGCAATTAAAAGACATTGGTCCATTAAAAGACATGGAGCAATACATGATCTACAAAGATAGTTCTAGAAGCTTAATTTCACAGTAAAATGGTAAACTTATCCCCCCGAATAGGAATAAAGGAGGATTATTTGTTTCATTAAAAAGATTTAGTGGAAAGCATTATTTCAGTTAAACAGAAAAATAACCAAAACAATTGGGAGCTATTTTAAAGAATAAGCATATATTTTTAATTTACTTAAATGAGGTGCATTTAATCAATTAAATACTTGAAATATTTAAAAAACTGAATTATTTTAAAAATTCAACTTAAAAATCAAATCGAGAGGCATGTTTACAATATTGCTTTGCTGCAACACTGAAAGAAAGTGCACTGCATAGAGAGCTTAAATTTCTCACTCTTCCTTTCAATCAATATCTGAGGCAAAGTTTCATCTCTAGGGCCCTTAATGGCAAGAATTCCTGGAGCCAGCAAATGAGTAATGTTAAACCTATGATTAGATGATGAGGCCATCAAAGACACTAGATCTTAATGCTACATTCCTCTTTATTTCTCTGAACAGCAGTGAAACACAGGGCTATAGAAGAAGGAATTCTAAGCTATTTTTCCATTAAAGCATTTTACAGAACTGTGCATCATCATGAATCGAAAAGATCCAGATAGTCTCTCGAACTCAGGACTTCAACAGTAGGTGACAACATTTTCAAATGCCCTGCAGATGAGCTCCTCACAGGGATGCTGCTTTCTTTAACCTCTTCCTTATCAATACTGTTCCTGGCTATAATGAGGAACATGGGCCTAACGATTTTCCTAGGAATATATTCTTGAAGAAAGTAAACCTGAAAACTGAAAATCAATTGGTAAGTTTTTCGTTTGTTTTGTTTAGTTTTGCTGATGTTTTAGAGGATCACTTGAATTCATTTTGTTGTTTATTTGCAAGTTAGCTATAGCTTTAAGCAAACCTCAGGCCAGTAATTAGGAAGAGCTGAGATATATGTTTCTTTCTACTGGGGAAACTATGAATAAAGGTAATAACTGCTTATTACAAACATACACAAGCTCTTATTTCATTCTGACATTACAGAATATTTAACACTAATATGATAATCAGGATAATCAGGACTACTAGGAGACCTGACAGAGCTGGTGAGAAGAAAGACCAATAGGTTCCAATTTAAGTAATCAGAAAATATATTTACATTTATTTTTGGTTTCTCTGTAATTGTTAAGAAGAAACAATACCCAACAATTACCATTTATCTTTGATTCTGATTATTAAAGATAAACAGCTCAAGTAGATTTTTAGAATTTATACTGACATATACAAATTACACTTAAAAAAAGAGAAAGCAGCAAGGTCTTAAGCTGTATTATACACTTTGGGCATGGAATTAAAAAACTTACTTTTCATTATCTCAAATATAATAGAGAAGAAGAAAGAAACAATGTAATTAATAATACATTTAAAAATTATAAATTACGATGTTTATATATGCATTATATATGTATTTTATATACATATATATGGTAGGAAACAATGGAAGAATTGAAAGGGTAGGAGAATAATACTGCTAAAAAGACTAGAAGAAGGGAGAGGGAGAATAAGTCAATATTTACATGGTAAGATAATCTATATACTAATATAACTCAATGTAAATTATTTTCTCCAACTATGGGATAATAGATGGAAATCTTAAAAATATATAAACATACACTTACATGCACGTACTTTTTATTATTAGTCACAAAAGTCCTCATATATTAATGTAATTGAGTGAATGAGATTTTGTACCTGAGAACAAAGCAGCATAACAAGCTCAACCACAGATGTGCTGGACTTCATACAAACAAGGCCTACAACAAAGAAAGGTTAAAACAAAATGAAATTACAATGGTAGAAATTACCATTCTGAGTTAATTCATTATATAATTTTAATGTATAAAAAAGCTTTCTTTTAAATAGAATTCCTAAAGTAAACTGAATGAAAATGTTCACCTAACATACATTTTTAACAATAATTTAAAACTATTCAGATACACAAGATGATGTGAAAATACGTGAAAACTGACTTCATGCTTTGGTTGTTTATTTGGTTGAGGCATTTCTTACATTTAAACAAAATGGGGAAGGTTAGTAAAATCGATGAGCTATGTATAGCTGCTATTACTCCAACAACATTTATTATATGGTTGTTTCCTTGGAGCAAAGAACAATAATCATTGAAGTTCTGCCTAAATTCTGTTCCAAAAGACAAAATCAATTTACAAACAGGTAATTTCCACAGCTTATCAGTTATTAAATAATTTTAAAAATAATAAAAAAGAATGTATGATTAACACATCAATCAATGCTTATAAAATATTGCACTGTTATACTTCCAATCTCCCCAAATAGATAGCAGAAGAAAAAAAGTGGAATGTAATAATGTCTATGTAATAATGGCTACTACTCATTGATCACTTACTATGCGCTGGGTAATATTTAACACATTGGCACAGTGCCTTATGTGCATGGTCTCATTTAATTATCATTATACTCTGTGACACAGTATTATTATTCCCATTCTACAGGTTAAGAACATATTCTTCCTATAAACAGTTTAAACATTAATTCTTATTATATGTATTGATGAAAAGTTATCAAGATTTTTTCCAATTAAAAGTATGACTGCTGTATAACAATGTACATGATAAGAAAACAGATCTTAATTGGTAGTTTTTTGAAGTGCCAACATAGAGAATGAGGTAATCAAGTATTAATAAAGCTGTTGAGAGTAAGTTAATTATGATGTTTGGTAATTTAAAAATATTTTCTAAAGTTTTTCACTGCTTTCAAAATTAAAGTAACTTAATAAATAGATTTTTTCCTCTTTCAAAAATAATTTCGATATAACAAGAACATTCATAGTTTTTAGAAATGCTATCATTTTTCTTCCTTTGATGATAAATGTAATTAGTAAAAGCATCATACAGTAAGAAAGGCCATGGTCTTAACATGGCCTAAATTTGTTGCTAAATGGAAAGTCGAAGTGAAACCAGTTATTGTTTCTTAAGGTGATTTCAATAAACAGTCTCAAATGCCTTCTAGACACTAGCATGTATATTTACTGTAGGCAGTGGATAGACACCCTTTTGTGCCCATTTTGCTAACGACCCTATCTCCTCATTGTACCGACTGACAGAACAAGCTATAAAAACATACTAGTGTTCCATCTCATCAGATCTTTGGGCAGACAGTTAACTAATGAAATAAGAGGCAGATGTGAGAAGCTCATTTAAGAGACAATTGGTGTAATCGATCAGCAATTCTCATGCTCAAGTTCTAGGGAGTCAGAAAGATTAATGGGACATGTATCACCTGTTGGCTACTCAAAGATTTGAATTCTGACAAAGAGAAAACAAGTAAAAGGCCAAATGATCATAATTAAACTCATGTAAATTTAGACAATAAGGCTTTGATATAAAGAATTATTCACATATATTCTGTGTCTGAGTTTTTAAATATGTAACAAATTGAAGTAAAATTAGGAAAAACATGAAATTGCATTCATTTCTCAGAAGTCAATTTTTTAAATGAACTTTTAAAAAACACTATGTAACAAGAACATTTATAGTTTTTACAAATACCATCATTCCATCATAAGAAAAATATAAACAAATGCTTCATTAATGCTTTGTTCAAAAGGAATGACAAAAAACTGATACAATACCAAAATTGCAATTTGGAAACAGTGCTCTCAGTATTTTGTAAAAGGCCATTGTGATTTCAAGTCCATAGAACCTCACACCTTTACTCATGTGTTTTGTCTAATTAGTTTTGGACAGAAGGAACAAATGAATTTTCCCAAAAGCAAAAGAAAAACTAAATGTGACAATGAGAACACAAGCAGAGGCAAATTTGAAAGATCTATCTATCTTCAAAAATTACATAATCACTTTGGTTGGGAGTATTACTAAAAAAAAAAGAGGTAAACTCAATGTTTTACTAGAGATAATGAAAATACAACCACTGAATGATGCTATAAGTAACTCTTAAGCTGTATATGAATAAGACAAATATTTTACAAGTGTATGTCTCAAAAAGTTTGACTGTATCCTTTTTCTATGTCACAAAAAATTCATAATCAAATTAATTCATTTGATATCTCCACTTATGAGCAAAATATAGTGTTAGTACTAAGGAGTTTACAGTAATAAATAAGTTATTATTTATACCTTCCCAAGTGCCCATATTTTAATTCAAATTAAGATTATATAAAATTTATATAGAGCTTTAGAATTTACAGATAACTTACATATATGCTATCTCATTTGAATCTCTTAATAACTGTTTAAACTAGTTATAACTACCTCATTTGATACATAAAAACTGAAGAGATTTGGTGGCTAGCCAAAGGTGTGTCATTCAGTAAGTGGTGGAATTGGGACCCAAATTCAAGTCATCCAACTCAAAGCCCATTCTGTTTGCTGCAGAGCTACATAAATAGTTTGGCATTAATAATATGGCAATATATGCTTATGAGACTGGTCATAATGGTCAATTCAGAGTTGAATGATTTTGACAGTTTTCCTGGTGAAAGTAACTTATTGTGGTCAGACATGGGAACAAAAAGCAATAGCTTAAGCGAAAAGCACACAGGAAGCAGAGAACAAAGAGAAAATCTGAAAAAAACTTGTATAGCTTGGGGGATGGATGAACAGACTATAAGAGTGTTTAAAAGTGTACTGAAGGGCTAGGGTAAAAATCAAAGATAGATTAAGATTGAAAGAAAGAAAATTATACGGTTTTGAAAGACAAAAGGAAAAATTTAAAGCAACTTATAAAATGGGAGAAATGATACTAAGGACTATTTATAGCATTCCTATTCTATCATGACAATCTGTGCCTTGTTAAGTAACAAGTAGCCCCCAAAGGAGCTGTACATATGTGCCTCCCCAGCAAAAATACAGTTAGGAGTATGGGCAAAGTAATAGAATATTTTTGCCAGAAAATATGTATGTTTGCTGGAATAAATATTCTAACCAGAATTACTGATTCAGTACTGCAAACCATATAGCTTACCAGTATAAAATGAACACCTGGAATGCAGACAATAAATGTGTGAGGGCTTATGAGGAAAGAGGCTTGTATATTTGGGAGATACTTTAACAGTAAGGAAACCATCCATTAAGAGCTTTTGAATATATTATGAACTACATTGTTGAAAGATGAAGTCAGCTCACTGAGTGGCTAAGATACAAGTACTTGAGAAGATTAATTAGCTGGACAAACTTGAGGTGGTCCAGATCCAGGCAGTAAATAAAACTGATATAGCTGAGTAAACCATTATCCAAAAAAACTGGCAGTTCTTTTGGGTTCACACTGACTAGGGGTAGGAAGTCAATTTCTACTTTCAGAATGACACTCCCTCCCCACTAAAAAAACAAGATAAAACAAAACAAAACAAAAAACTGCTGCAAATGATAAACCAGATAAGAAATCTCCAAAATGAGTATAAAGTTAGAAGCTTGGCCTTTGGGACAAAGCTATCTTTATTTAATACAAACACTACTAAAAGGTACAATGATATTATTTTAATAAAGAACTGTCAGACTCTTTTGAGTCAATCTGTGGGTCTAACTTTTTACATCTGTTGAATTGAATATCAAGTTAAAAGAGCCCTAAAGTTTTAAAATACTGTTGAAAAATTCCATCTCTAGCAGAATGTTCCTCATGGTGGGAGATGAAGAATATCACATGTTCTAGGGACAAGAAATAATGCTCTTATATGGAACTCATCTTTTAAATGTTAAAGTTTTCTTGAAGTAAGGATCCAAGAGAGGAGACTCTGACAGACATCTATGATTGCTTTGAATATATAATCAATAAATATTAATTGAATCAATAAATCTATAAATCATCATTATCAACTGTAGATAAAAATTACATTTTGAGCAATAATAAGAACATCAGTTTTTAGAATAAGATCCGAATTCATTCAAAAAACATTTACCAAGCGTATTTCTAATGTGCCTGACACCATGGTAGGTACTAAGTGGGATGTGGGGCAGATAATGTGAGCAAGTAATCATGATAGGGAATCTTAAGGGGTTCATAGAGAATGCAGTGTGAGAAGCACAGGAAGGGTATTAAGCAACTGTGTCTAGGAGAAGAAGTTATGGGGAATGTGACATTTAAGTTGGATAATGCTGAGCCTATCTAAGCAAAAACTGGAAAGAAGGGAAGGTCATTCCAGGTGACAGAGAAATGTTTGAGGTATAAAGAAGCACGCAATAGTCAGCAAAATGGAGTTGGAATGTTATGTCGTAGGGTGTGAAGGATGAAAGGAAGTGACTGGAAATGAAGACAGAGAGGTAGGCAGGAAGTAGAGCCATACACGGCATACTATCCTGTCATCACCAGGGAGAAACAACAGGATTTTAAGCAGGGCGCAGACAGAATTAGCTCTATTTTGGAAAGACCACTTTCTGTCAGCAGTACAGGAAGAAACCAGTAACTAAAAAGTTTAGTTAAACGACTGAAAGCTTGAGCTCAAGATGGTGGCAATGCAAGTAGAGACAGACTTGAAAGGCATTCTGTAATGAGACAAACTATTTTAGACAACTATTTTAACAACCATTAGGGCACGGTAAAGGAACCATCAGAGTGTGATGATGATACCTTTAACTGAGATAAGGAAAGCAAATAAAGCAGCAAATTTGCAGAAGGAAAAGTGATGAGTTTCATTCTAGACCATATTTCTCCCCACAATAAAAGATACCAATTTATTTTCCATCAAACAGATATGACTGTACTGACAATCTGAATTTTAAAAATCAAACATGCCCAGGACTAACTAGTTTTTAGTCAATCT